AAATATCAGCAGTGGCAAACTGAGAAAAACCTTTTATGCCATTTGAATCTATGTTTGCATTCAATTCACCAAAATCCACCTTGGCTAATTGAGTAGAGATTATATGCAAACCATGTATGTATACACATTAAAAGGAGTGTCCATTCCCATTTCATGTTTCCAGCCTAACGTAAAGGTGGCTTTCAATAAAGTTTGACAATATGGGGTAGCTTTTAAGCATGATGGGTGCATCTATTAAGATTTTGTTAGAATGAAATATGCTCACAGGTGAAGGAGATTACTTACTTTGATACAGACTTGCTGTAGGTATAGTTTACTATACTTTCAAGTCTGTGAATCTGTGACTGTGTTTTGAGGAGACAGTGCAGTGTGGTAGATTTATGATGGCCTCACAGAAACAGAGCTAACAAAGATTATGGTATACTTGTTTGGAAAAACGGTGAACTGAAGGTTCGTGATTTACACTGACATATATCTAGATGAAACCATAGTTTGCAAATTGCCTTGAGGAGTCATCTTTTATTAAGTATTTGATAGGTACTGAAATGTACGTATCTATTTGAAAGCATATCAAGAATGCTGATTTTATATTTTCAAAGAGTCTCTTTTAGATCTTTAAGTTAAAATATTTTTATTTATGTATTGCTATTTTCTAAATACCTTAAAATTAATATTCAGTAAAAAAGTCATGTCATGGTAATAAGTAATTTAATAATATTTAAAAGGTTCAGAAATATGGAGATTTTGAAAAATTTCACAGTATATCTTCATATCAGGGAAGTAGTTCAAAGTCTCTTAAAGACTACCGGCTTTCGTTTTTTTACATTTATGTTCTCATTCAAGGAAAAAGAAATAACCTTAAAGACTCTTAAAGGCACTCTTAAGTGCCTGAAATGGTCAACTTAAAACCTGTCACTTCCTGACTCTTTCCCGTTTTAAGTGTTTAATCAACATGGTCTTCATTTGAAGGATGTGGAGATTTCTCCCTTATTTTATAAGGCCAGTGATGTTACTGAATTCAGGACTGAAACTGTGAGCAGATATGCTTATAGACATTTTTCCTAGAGGAAGTCTTATCTGTGTATGATCAATAATGACAGAATGCATGACAAAAACTTAAAATCATTCTGCTATGCATTTCCAGTTCTTGTGACTGTTATTCCTTTTTGCCCCTATTTTATTTTTATAACAGCCCAGTGTCACCATTCTAATTTAGGAGGGCCACAAATTTTTTCCTCATCCCACAAAGCCAATTTATATGCTCCTATTCAATGTGAGAAATAGATGTTTGGGAAGAGACAGGAGTGTTAATTAGATAACATAGTTTTGAAATTGCTGGAATCACAACTCCTTTAAAATCCTCATTCTGTTGGTTCTATTATCGTTGTATTTTACAGCCCAGGAGTTTGGATGCTTACTGCTGGTATTGTATAAAGTGGGTGTTCCCGGAAGTCACACTTATGAATTATTGTGTGCCCTAACTGCTTCAGGGCATAAAATTTCTCTAACATACAGCAGCTCACAGATTGGGAGACACATTGGCCCAATGTGTCAGAGACCTTTGAACTCTGGTGTACTCTGAAAGTATCTTTTGGGTCTCTTTGGGATTTAGTAAGAACAAATGGAATGTAGAGAAAGCATATATTTCTACTATTGACCTAACTCCTTTATCACAACTCAGGATACCCTTTATTTCCCTATTGTGGTAAAAACACATACCATGAGATCTACCCTCACAAATTTTTATGCGTGCCATACAGTACTGTTAACTCTGGGCACAATGTTGTACAGCAGATCTCCAGGAATTTCTCATCTTACATAACTGAAAGCTGTAGCCCCCATTTTCATCACTGCTGACTGTTAGAAATGAAAGTAATGTTACCTAAGGGCTGGCTATGTGTCAGGCATGGTGATAAGGGCTCTACTTACATTTTCATACCCATCCACTCAGCTCCTTGAGGAAGGTACCATTATCTGCACTTTACAGATGAAGGGAACCGAAGTACAGACAGTAACTTGCCCGTTTATAGAGCAGATGAATTCTAGACGCGGGATTTGGCCTTCTATGAACACCGTCATATTGCTGCTTCACTAGTAGTTGCTTAATTAAAAAAAATGTTCTTTTAATGCAAAGGAATAAAAATACAGTCTGTATCAGGGAGGATATCTTTAAGGAGAAAGTACCCTTGGCCAAAGTCTGTTGGCTTGGCTATTTTGTTCTGAAAAAGGGTAAATATATGGGGGTTAGATTTAATACCCGGGGTACAGATGTCAGAATGTTGAACGTGGTACATTTATTGCCGACATTCTTTTTTGGTGGTATAATGTCCAGACCTCCACAATGCTCAGTGGCATGAATTTACTGATAGGTTTGTAAAAGATGCACAAATTTAGAGTAAAATCTAAGTATTCCATGTAGAAGTATCTGTTTTGAATTGCATGTTTCTGTAGCATTAATAGCAATTATTGATGGTGTGATCTTTCCAAAACTGTCCTTAGTTGTGGTTGTTACATTTCCATACCATTGTATAAGATCAAGTATAAACCCATGATTCTGTGGGAGAATTTATTGTGTTTCCCTCCCTCGAGAGGACTTAGTGTCTACATTTCTATATTATCATCAATGATTGCCTTTTTAAAAAAAATTTCTGTTGCATTCACTTTTATTTAAAAAATTGCTTGTTTTATTTACTTGTGAGAGTTGCAGATTTATGTGAAAATTGGCCACACCCAGCAAGCCAAATCCTATTATGTATTATTCTGTTGGCATAATATAAATACTCTGTTTCATTTAAAAAATTATGAATTTGCTTATATGTAGAGAACGCTTCACAAATTGTAGGTGCTCAATAAGTGTTATCCAAATAAATATATTTGCCTCAGTTAAAATCTGATTTAAAGAGTCCATAGGTTTTTGATCCCAACATTGATCATTCAGATTTATTAAGTTAAAAATTACTCTGTTTGAATAAGTAAATCATGAGAATGAAAAGCACAATATAGGGAATATGGTAAAAAACATTGTAGTATGTATGATTTTCGTAATTTGTATAGTGACAGTAACTAGTCATTGTGTTGAACTTTTCCTAATGTATGTAATTAGTTAATCACTGTGTTATACACCTGAAACCAACATAATATTATATACCAGTTATACTTCATTGAAAAAAAAGTTATTTATTTAATTTATTTTTTTCCTCTAGGCTGCTATGAAGATAGGGATATAGGCAAATTCAATTTGCTGGCACATATAGGGGTGGAATCAGAGAATGTCAGAGAGGTACACAATTATTATTAAGCAAACAATACAGCCAAGTACGAAAGAGTGGAAGTATTGGAATCAGTTAAAAGAGGTTTAGAATTTTAGCCCTAATTAATATGTTGTTATAGTAGACAGTTATTAACCATTTCAGGCCTAGTTTTTCTTTTCTATAAAGTGGGTATTATTGTAACAGGCTGGGGGGTTTTAAATATTCTGTGAAATGGCAAAGATCCTGGTACAATGTATGTACTCAGTGAACATTACCAAACATTATTCACATACAGGGTATTTTGATAGCTCTAAGTACATATTGGTTTGTTATTTGAAAAGTTCCATTTTGGGTATGTTACACTAATAGTGGTATTTTAAATCAAAAACTACTTTTTGAGAATTCTTTTAAGAATCAAAATAGACTCAAATCAGAGAAAAATATTTAAAATCAGAGATGTAATTCATAGAATAGGATTACATAAACTTGAGTTCATAAGCATTAATCTTTAATAAGTTGGTTTTATATGTGCTAAAAATAATTTATAAGCAAAATTTTAAGTTAAGTAGAATTTTCTTTTCATAGTTGGCATGGGATTCACATTTTTGAACTGTGTGGTAGCTACAATGGTGAATGAGATACTGTCTCTATATTTAAGAAATTCACAGTCCAATGGGATATTTAGTGACCAAAATTATGATATAAGAGCAGTAGGGGAAATATTAACTCCATAAAAACTAACTTGAGAGTGTAAAGCAAGGCATTTAATTTATGATGTGGGCTACTGAGAATGCCAGGCTTTCCCCAAACCTTTTAAAGCTCTACATCTGTCACTATTGTATATGCATGTGTGTGTATATGCATGCATTCATGAATTGAGGAAACAAAAAAAACAGAAGTCTTCTTTTATTCCAGCGCTCATTGCCTTGTTTTTAAGGAAGAGAAATAGTGTTTTCTTTCCTTACCCTTAAGTGAAGATACTATTTCCCTGAAGGAACAGTTATGTGCATGCATAAGTGGACATGCAAGGCTTATATAACACAGTCATGTAAACAGTGAAATTGTTTATAATTTGCAAAATCTATTCAACAAAAGAAGTAATATTTATGGTACATTTTCCATGTTCTTTCATTTTTAAGTTTTCTGCTTTCTTTCAAAGTCTGCTGGGCAGTGACATACATAATTGTAGAAAAGGGAAGGCAAAAATCTTTCTCTTTAACACTGACAGGAATAACAAATATCCCATCTCTTCCTTATCCTTTGATTTGGGTGACTTGTGCCCTCATGTGTGACCATGGGGCACCCTTTCTGTTGACAGTTACAAGCAGAGTATAGATGTTTTGCTAGACTATGCACAGACCAAGTAAATCTGGATGTTTGGGATGATTTGGGCAGCAAAAGTGTAGCTCTACAGGGCATAGCACAGCCATCCTGCTGGACACTTGGATAAAACACAAAAGGAGAGAGAATGAGCACTATGAAATAGTGTACCTTATTTCAAATAAGATGAAAAATGAATTTATACTTCTCATCTAACTTCATCTTGTATATCATTTCTTGGGACATTTTAACCACTACAGACATAAAAAAATTATCAGATTATTATTACTGAAATGAAACCTGGTTTTCATAGTCTATAAGCTGCTTTAGTAAATTCTCTTTGTTTTCAAGAAAGATGTTAGGCATTATTTTCTATTCTGATTTGGTGTTAATGCTAAAAGCATGTCTGACTGCCATCTGTTTCCCCAGGTGTCATCTGATGGCAATGCTGGTTCTTGAGCTGAACTCTGACGTTTCGTATGCCAAGGCAAATGGAGTCAACTACATCCATAGTGTTGACTTCCTCACAGTGAACTGTTGACCTTTAATTGTAACTTCATGATAAAATTAAGGTGGTATATTTTCAAAATCCTTTGAAAATCATTTTTTCTTCCCTCAAAAGCCCAAGAATAAAGAATATCTACATGTTAACAAGAGAAAGAAAAACAACTAACTAGAAGAAAAAAAGAACATGAGCAAAGCTTTGTTAATCTTACTTCATTTATAGTAGCAGATTTACTCAGTCAGTAATATAACTAACATATCCTGGGTGCCACAGGGGGCCTGAAAAAGAGGCGGTCTAGAACTGAAGTACAGAGCACAGAAAAGCCTGAATTCTTACTTATTAAAAGGGAGTGAGATGAACATTTAAAAACTGGAACAATGTAACGTACCAGACAAAGTTTCTTAGAAGAACTGAATTCTGAAGAGCAAGTATGGGTAGACATTGCATCATAAGTGTATTTCCATTGCACTATAGAACTTTTATTAATTTTTATAGCTAGATGTATTCCATTTTAAACCTTCATACTATTAAACTTTTAGATTGTTTCTAAACTTTTGTTACTACATAGAGCTTTATTATTTAAACAGTGGAAATGTGAAGATTGCTTCAATGTCCAATAATAAAGAAATGATGAAATACATCATGGCATGGATATACAATAGGGGATTATGAAACATTAAAATGATTCTTGCCAACACTTTCTAATGATCTAAAAATGAAAAAATACAGAAAAAGCTGTATTATTTGTGCACGCTTATATATTAAGAACTCAATAACATAAAATTTGTATATGTACAAAACTATCAAGGAAATTTACTAAAATTTTATCTGTAATCAACTCCGTATGTGGGACTGCGGGTGGCTACTAAAGTTTTTCTTTTTATTCTTTGCTCTTTAAAGTTTGTATCTAAAGATCATGTCTTACTTTAGTATCAGAGAACTTCTATATGCCTAAATTTTCAATAAATTTGATTTTGGATCCAAATAATGAATATAATTTTGAAAAATAGTGCTAGTTTTCTCTCTTGAGAATTTTTATCAATGTAAATAGGTACCAAGAATATCTATGATACTTTGACTCAAAATAAAAGAAAAAATATTTGCTTGATTTAGTAAGTAAAAATATCTCATTTCTATTTTGATTTGCATTTCTTTAATTAGAAGATACTATGATTATTTTGCTCTATTTGATTTCTAATTTCTAAATGCATTACCTTTGGTCTGAATTATGCATAATGTCCTTTGTCTGTATTTCTTAGTTATTTTCTTTCCTTTGTAAGAATTCTTCATATCACATTAACATTTGCTGCATGTATTTGCCTTTGGCTGCCTTCTTTTTACTTCTATATGCTTACTCTTCAGTGTTTAAATGACCAACTTTTTTTATAATTTTAAATTTTAAAAGTTTTTAGTTCCCAAAGTTCTATAAATATTAAATTATTTTTGGTAGTCATGCAATTGTTTAGCTGGTTTCCTGTAGTTCTTAACTAAACATTTTAATTTCACATTTATAGAGTATTGCTTTTTATATTGCCCTTCATTTCTTCAGATGCTAACGAGAGGTCCCAACACCATTTACTTACATTTTTTTAATGATACTTCCTTTAGTTATATATTTATGTACATATGTAAACATATATATTCAGATACATATAAACATATATAGAATATGTGTGTATAGTGTTAGTCTTGAATTTTGTATTTTGTCCTTTTAGTTTTTACACCTCTCTAAAATATACACTATTTTAATTAGTATTCCTTTAATCTTAATGAATTCTAAGTTCATATATTTGTGCATACACATCACTCCCCTTTTCATACATTTTTAAATAGGCTTGCTTCTTTACTTTTCTAAGTTAATATTACTACCAACTTTTGTCATGCTCCAAGACAAAAAAATCAATTGAGGGTCAAAATTGAGCATTATATTAAATGTAACAAATTAATTTAGAAACATTGAATGACTTAAAAATTATGAATAACAATAATTTATTTGAACTAAACTAAATTTTTTGACTCTTTCTACCAAGAGAGACAGATAATTCTTGCAGAGGACTTATGGAAACAATTCCCCAAGCTCTTGTATTTCTCCTTTCTCCCTCATAGAGCTCTAGGAAGCAACAGCCCTACACAAAGACACCAAAACTTACCTCCTCTGTGTTGCTAATGGATATGAATGAACGTTCACAACTCATGGGAGTAGTTCCCCAAAACATTACAAATTTAATCCATTAAATATTACTTTGGTTAACAAACATCTTGAGGAGATGACATTGAACTTAAAAGTCCTTCTTATTTTCATAACCAATTATGACTTATCAGATTTCCTAACACGTGAGATTGCAAAGTAAGGCTGTTAATTAGAAAAGAACTGTTAATTCTGGGGCACAGGCTAGTGGGAAAAGTAGGTCTAATTTGTATCATAAATTTAGAACTTTGACTAGTCAGTGGGATTCATACTGTTTGTGGACAGAGGCCTGTGGAAAGGTTGTTAGTAGGCATCCTTTCTCTGTTGCAATTTTGTATGGGGCCCAGGAATTTGTCCTGTAAGTGCTTATATTTGAGCCAATGTGTCAGTTCATGCCTTGATTCCCAATTTTCTTTTTATTCCAGTTAAGATCTCTGGTATTCATTGCCCTATTTCTTCGATCCAACCCACACATGAGTCCATCTTCTCAGAGGTATGATTATTCATAGCTTTCTCCATATCATTTGTTATGCCACACATATACCTTGTGCCAAGCACTGGGTTGCATATTTACATGTCATGTTATTTACTCCCTCAAACAAATCTGAAGAGTACATATTATTCCCACTAATTTTTTTTTTACTAGTGCTCTTGTTTCCCATATTCCTCAGAACTTGCAGTTTTGCTTTCCAGGTGATCTCTACAGCCCTGCTGAACTCCAGAACCTACATTCCCTCATTAGATTCTACCTGCTGGTACTGCCAACTGGCTCAGTGAGCTCTGGATGAACTGCTCTTTTCTCAATAGTCAGCATCTTGGACCTAGGTCAGATGTCTCTTATCCTCCCAACATCCGTTGATAGTCTGCTGTTTTGTCTTGTCTGTCTATCCTTTTGTTCATCCATTTAATATGTTATTAAGGATAAGCAAAATAAATTCCAGTTTTAATGCTTTCAAAGACCCACAAGGAGACAGTCCTTAATTTCAGGGCTGATACTGACATTGCAAAGTGTGATCCTCTACTAGTTAATGCTCATAATTAGAGATTCTTGACCAACATGATTACTAGTCAGATGCATATTGATTGTTCCTGTATATCTATGAATTAAGCTGGATATAATTTCAGTACATCACAATGTGCTGTAGACGCCCAATAAATAATCACTGATGGATGTTACCAAGGGAAAGCCATTTAGGAAGGAGTAAGAGAAAACTGAACAATAGAAAAAAGAGTACTAAAGTTTGACTAGGACAGCATGATTTGGTTTTTGGCTATTCTGTGTATTAGTTGAGAGTCTGAGAAAGTTTATTAAACTATCTGAGTCTTTGTTTCTGGATAAAATAAAGATTATATTGTTAATTTATTCATAAGATTCAACAAAGCAATATATGGAAAAGACTTTTAATTCAGGCACGGAGTAGGAGATTTGGTCTATTAGGAAAGAGATGGTGTATTCAATGAGACAATTAATAAGATTTATTGAAGAATACAAAGTGTGGAAGGAGTTAAGAGAAAACAAAGAAGGGGCTATTACTTAGGCCAGAAGGAATAAGGGGAACCAGGATTTACTGGAATGCAGAGAAAGAGGTCTACTTACAGGAGAGAACTGCCTTACAGGATATCTGGCTTAGGCAGAGTGAGCAGACTGCAGACTCACTTCGTGCCAGTATCACTACACAAATCCGATCGGAAGGAAGAGGGATTAGAGCCCAATCGATCCAGAGCATGAAGGCCAGCCTTCTGAAGGCAATGAGAGAGCAGAGAAGGGTGGAAATCAGATCCAGAGGGGCAAAACGCCTATTTAACAGAATGTTCAAGAAATATTTGTTAGATAAACAAATGGATAAATCTGAATCCTCAGATCATTCCAAAGATAAGACTTTATGCCATAGGCTAAGAATTTGATGGTAAAATAGAGAGAGAGAAAAATAAAGGGAGAAGGTAAATAGGGAAAATAAGGGAAAATATACTCATTTGTTGAGGATTGAAAATAGTAGATAAATTAAAAAGCATTGAGAAAAAAATTTGACAAGAAAAAAGGTTAAAAATCAGGACTTTGGGTAAAAGCAAGTGTTTTATTGTAATAATAATAAAAATAAATAGTGTGGACCTTGAAATGAATGCATCATACTCGACTACACTCTGCACCGTACCAAACATTAGTAAAGGATGATTCAACTTTGAAGCTTAAAATAACTCAAAAGACAGCATTGTTTCTAGTGCTCTTAGCTAAAAAGCATATTCTATGTTCTCTATATAGTTTTCAAAAGTAGAGAAAATTCCAAGTTAGAATTTGGGAGCTGTATTTAGTTTTGCACTTTTCACAGCACTGAGCTGAGATAGGTGTCCATTTTGTTGCTGAATGTACATTGAGGTAATTCAGCTTTCTAGGATGGTTCCACAATGAAGATTTTTTCTTAATCAGCAAAATGAAGATTTTGCTAAGTAAACTGTTTTGTATCTAGTTATGAAAAGGAGATTAAACTCCATTTAATTTGCTTGTTTTCTGCTTGTTTATTTGATCAAATAAATAATGAAGTCTGACTGGTCAGTTTGACAAGTGTATACATACCCTGGTAGCATGCAGGGCCTATGCTCATTCCTGTGGGCTATACAAAAATGGACACATAGAAGACTGTCATCACAGTGCTTAGAGTTCAGCTGAGAATGAGCGGAAGATGAAAATACATTTTATATATTATGAAAATACAAAGGCAGAAATGGGAGTAAACCAATGAAATATTTAAGAAAAGTTCTATCGAAGATTACTTATCACTTTGATCTGAGGGGAGTTTCCTAAAGGTTGTGACATTTGAGTTGACTTGTAAGAAAGGACAGGACTTTCATAATTAGAAATGGAAAGTCTTTCTACATGATTCAGAATAATAATATTTATTGAGCACTTACTGAGTGTTGCATACTCTTATCTCAAAAGATTAAGGTCACCTGCCATTAGTGGGAAGAAAAAGAACACTTTTTTCCAATAGCCAAAATACCTACTTTATATTTCATTATTTCATAATTCACTGTATATAGTTTCATGATAATTATTTATCAAACATGGGAAAATGTTCATAATATTTTTATGGCAGATGTGACCATTTTTTTTAAGCCAAGTTAACAGTATTTTCAGTAGATAGAAATGATTGGCTTCATGCTTATAACAAAATTGATTAAATTAACTGGCCTATGAATACAACTGAGTTACCTTTTAGTATGAAGATTAAGCAAAAGTGTGAATCACAGTACAGCCTGTCATGGAATCTCTGATTATATTCTTCCAAAAGGAATAGTGTTTACCAAAAACATATGAATTTTCATGTATCAGGGCATCCTAAAAAAAAAAGTAAATATTCTGATTTCCCAATTTCAGAAATCACATAACTAAATGTAACAGAAGTACAATTCCTCAACAAAAAGGTATGTTGTGTAAAAGTAAATGTGGGGTAAGCTCTATTTATGGTCATATGTCATCTACTTTATTTGTTTTTCTTAACCTTTAACAAATGTAGCTCTTCAGATGCAAACTAACTCTACTGTCAAACTTAGATATCAGCTGAGTAAATATTTCCAGAGAGGTACAAGGGAAAATGATTAGCCGAAAGTACAATTACCAGAAGAGAATTGGGGCTTAGGTAGTGGGAGAACAGAAATATACTTTTAACCAGTGAAAGTAACTGGCAAACATTTCTGGACCTCTATTTAACTAAAGGTCATCTGCAAAATTTTCACAGTTACTCTTGATAGAAGTTTTGGTTAAAGGAAAATTGTGCATTTTTTTTTTACTTAAGTCTTATCTTCACTGTGGGGGTTTAAACATTTTGATTGAATTGTGTCAATGAAAGTTCATTTGAGTATTTCCTAATAGAGATGATGGATCTTTTCAGACTTTGACATGCTTATACATATGTGAAGAGAAATAAAAATGTATAATCTGAGGATGTGACCCTGACAATCATTTTTTAAATGATTACTCTTAGCTAAGAGCAAATATGATCACACTAGAGTGATTTTACTGTTTCAACTCAGAGGATCTGATCAATATCAGAAGTGGACCCTGTTTTCCTTGCCTCCCAGACTTTTTCCTATTTTCCTGATGTAAAGTAAACCCCGTTTTGTGGTGGCGGTTGGGGGTGGGGGGAAAAGGGATGTTTCATTTGTCGTGGGGAACAAAATATGTGGCTTCTGACTATTTGACAGCATCTTTGTGTGGACATCAGGGATAATGATCTGATGTATAGACGTGAGCAAATGTTCCCTTAATTGTTCACCCAGCTGGTACTCTTGGAATTTTCCCAGGTTTTGTATTTTTAATCACATAAACAGTGAAAAATGAAAATACCATGAGAGAGGAATTGTAGAGCAGCCAGTTGTTAATGTGCTGGTTCCACAGTTTCAGTACATACTGATACTGAGAAAGGGGAAGAGAGGAACTGAGAAATTTGCTATGAGCTAATGAGAGGCACAAGACCTGAGTGGTGCAGAAGGAGCTGAGGGGGTCGAGGTAGCACTTGAGTGACAGAAGGACCACCACCCACAATGGGAGAAGAGCTATGGAAGGAGGAGAGAGAATATGAAACAAAGCAAAACTATGTCTTTGCATATTAACTTTAAAGGTGGTGGTGAAAGTAATAGGTTTTAAGTATAATCTAAATATGAGGTTGACATTTGAAAGGTCTTTTTAGAATGTGAAGATTTTAAATTAATTTCTGCTGTTTATGAGTTCGTTGTAATAAAACAATATTTATATTCTACTCAGAATATCAACCAAATGCAGATATGGTTTTGTCTTCTGTTTCTTTTACTTTACTCATAGTGACAAAACACCATCGGTTTTGTGTGACTCATATGCAAAACTAAATGCTTTCATCTGTGTGGTCTGCTGATGGGAAATAAAATCAGATATTTCACTTCTAACTTCATCAAGCAAGAGAAAAATCTGTTGTGATTCCAAGAAGAGACGAACTCAATTGGTAAGTTTTACAATTTTCAAAAAGAATTATCGATAGCATATTGTGAAAAATGTCTAATGCCAGGGCAGATTCTTTGTTTCTTTAAAAAAAAAAAGCCATCATTGGCTTATGAAGGAGCACATTTGTATTTGAGAAAATGCAATTGTTATTAATAGTTAAATTTCCTCCTGTGTACATGGAAAATAAAGCTCAAATGTCACTGAAAACATCACCTCTTATATTTTGAGCCCTGCATCAGTAAGTCGTCAATTTTTTGAAGACCGAAAAAGAGTTTGGCTTTTGCTTTCATGTGCTTTTTTGAACTTATTTGATCACGTTGATTTTATTTTTGTTCATTTGTTCTGTTTATGTGAATTCCTAAACTTAAATTCTGTAATCTATAAGTATATGCCAACTGACAAAGACTTTTTTCTTTCCTATTTTGTTTTCATTTCTGTTCTCTGAATTGTTTTCTAGAATATTTTGTACTAGAATATTTGGTGATGAAGGGCTTGAATACATATGTCTGGTTATTACAATTTTTTGAGCACTTGATTTAGGCACTGGTCAATGGGATTGAGAAGTCAGACACAAGAATTTTATAATAAAACTAATTTAGAAGAAAGGGGTTGTTTCCATATACTCCTGCCAGTTAATGACAGGGTCAAATCTAAAGGCTTTCCAACATTGTCCTGCAAGATGAAAACATCAGGGCTACCCTCATGTTTTTTAATGTATTTAGACATTGTAGATAAAGCCTCTGTATATGTCCTCACAAAAAGATGTACTTTGGATGAGAAGTATGGAAACCCAGCAATACTGAGTGTAAGTCTAAAGGTACTTACAGGTAATTCTGTAGTGCTATATAAAGTTTTGGGATAGGTAATTGAAATCATTAACATAAAAGCTCTTTATGTATACCTTGGGCGCTAAGTTTTTTGTAAGCTGATTTTAAAGATAGAGGTGAGACCTAAAAAAGGAGAAATAAAATATATTGTTTAGTATGCATCTTTGACACTCGGGCTTATTGATACGTTCTGCATTTTATAAGATGAATGCTATGACAAATGACAGAGAAGAGATTGCACGTCACTATCTCTGTTCTATCTGTGTACTGCCAGTGGGCAAAGATTTCTCATTTCATACATCATTTACAACTTCCTACAGTAATTTTACACAGTTCATATCCTCAGTACAAGGCATAGCAATTATCTATACACATATAAGCATGCAGGCATACTGAATATGAAAACCATGCTGTTCTAGAAAGAGCTCCAAAGTTCACACATTTCAACCAATAAAAGTTGGTAAAAGCCAGTAAGTTGTCCAATTAAACTTTCCTATTTTAACTTATGCCCCAATGTTACCTCTGAAACAGGTTGTTTCAGGAGGTGCTCTTGAAGAGTACTGTTTGTAAGAGTAAAATGTTATTTTTAGTGTTTCCAATTGCTGTTGTATCCCAGAAATTACATTAAGAAAAAAATCATATTCCTTTTTCTATCCACTTTTACTCTTTTGCCTCTAAAGAAAATAAGGAAAATACAATATTGCACTCTGGAATGGATAAACAACAAAACTAAAATATACAGACTTTCAATTTTAAATGTGACTAAATATTAAAGTGTGACAATGTTGAGTTTTTTTGGACTTCCAAAGTTATTTTAATTTCTTATTGTTGTCCTACTTTTCCATATAATATAGGATGCTTAACATTTAGAGAGATCATAAATTGCTAAGTTGATACATAAATCATAGTCTCCAGAAATATATTCTGAACTCAGATGTGTTATCAATAATCTACAACTGAGTTTTTCTTGTTGTATTTCTAATTTTTTTGAAACTTCACTATTTTTCATATTCTGGCTTTCATTATATGCAGCTAGAACAATAAGTGGTAACTATCTAACTTCTTTCAAAAATACAGAAAGTAATTATTCAGATTCAGGAAACAGTAAATCTCACTATTTATTAATGAATTAATACCCTATCTTTTTTGAAAATTATTTTATTTGGTTTACTGACACTGTACACTTCTCCACAGCCATGATTTCTTAAAATTCTTTTCTTTGGGGAAATTATTACTTAAAATTTTCATTTATTAACCTGTACTTTGTATTTGTGACACATCAGGATGTGTCCATTTACATGTAGAAACTAAGCTTTTTCACATCTAGGCCCTTGTATTTTAAGATAAGACAGGGACACAAAGCTAATATGTTTTACCCTTGTTGAGTATTTCATTTTGATAAATGCATAAGAAGTAAAAAGTCTTTGTTCATTAGTTAGAAAGAAATTTCCAGGACTGTTCTGTTCCTGACCACTTTCTTGTCTTTGTGTTGGTCTCTCTCTGTGCTTCAATATCTTTATATGTAAAATGAAGCAAATGAGATGATTTAAACATTTACAAAAATATGGATGAGATCTTTTTGTTAGTCATGACACCAGAAATGTTACTTGTCTGGAAACTAAATAATTTGGCAAATTTCTTTTATGGGTGCAAAATGCAGGTCCTACTTTTTAAATTCAAGATTGTTTTAATGGCTACTGTATTTAACTTTATTTGCCTATAATCCTAGTAATCTTACAGTCAGTGACAAATAATAACTATAGAACTAGCTCCATTGTATCTTAATTTTATGGATAGTCACATTTTATAAAACAAATCAGCATTTTCATTGAACACTCAAATCTATATATCTGTTTTTTTTACAGCTTGTTGGTTTTTGAAGACTTTTACTAGGTATTACAAAATGCCTGAGTAATATAGGGATAAAGGAAATGTGTAATTTAGAGATTTTTAGATGGAGAATATAGTCAAAATCCATTATTTTAATGAAATTAAACATGGAATTGATTGTTAAAAGCTACACTGATGATTTATTTATAGCACTGCCCCTGACGTAACAGAAAGAGCTGTCCTAGCATCATGAGACCCTGTGCAGAAGAGTCACATTAGAAAATTTATAGAAACTAAGTCATTTCTTCCATTTGAATCTTGAAATTCAAACCAAAGCCATTTTTGACTACAGCTCCATTCTCTATGCATACAAATAAAAGAATAAGTGTCATTGTCAGGCAATAAAATTGTTAAAAATATTATAATACTAAGGTATCACTTGTTCCTTATTGAAGTTGTATTAAAGAAATATCATTATTCCTTCATTCAACAAATATTTATTGAGGTCCTCCTATCTCATAAAAAGCAATAAATCTTTGCCTAGCTCAACTTTTCTTAGTTTGACAATAATTAAATTCAGTGTCAGATTCTTGGAGTAATAAGGGTGACTACATATATTAGTTTTCTACCAGTGTATAAGAAATTACCCTAAAAGTTGTGGCTTAAAACAACAATTTGTTATCTAACAATTTCTGTGGATCAGGAGTCTGAGTGCAGATTATCTTGAGTCCTCCAAAAGGCTGCAGTGAAGGCATGGCTCAGGGTTGAGTTCTTATCCTAATACTCAACTGGAGAGGATCCATTTACAGATTCACTGAGGTTACTGCCATAATTCGTTTCCTTGTGGTTGTAGGACTGAGGGCCTCATTTTCTTGCTTTTGTCAGCTGATGGTCCAACCAGGCTGTTGGCTGGAAGCTCTCTGCAGTTCCTAGTGGCTTCTCCTAGTTCTTTATGACATGGGCCTTCCAACATGACTGCTTGCTTCATTGAAGAGACTTCTACAAAATTGGAGCTATGATTTTATGTAATGCAATCACATAATCACGTAATGTAATTACATAATTGCAGAAATCATATATATGTAATTATGTATATCCTGTTATCTTTGCCATATTCTGTTGGTTAAAAGCAAGTCATGGTTTCACCCACACTTAGGGAAAGGGTACCACACAAGGTCATTGACCCCATGGTAGGGGACACTTTGACTCTGCCATACTACATAAAGCAAACAAATTAGGTATGAATAATTCATTTTTAAATAAATACATAGACAAATAAAAAGATGCACTAGAGAATAATTGAAATATTTTTATCTGGAAATTATAAGATTTGGCTTTTCTATTAGCAAGTTGTATAACATTCAGTAACCTGAATCATTTCTCTGGATTCAGGAAGCATAGGGTCCACACCACACCTGAAAATAGAGGGTATTGGACTAGAATAATTGCTAAAATTTTCTTCAGCTTTGCACTTCTACAAGACATAGAATATTTGGAATACATTGAATTATTTAATGAACTAAATGTCTCACTTTTTACTCCAAATATTTATTGAGATGTTTAAGTGTTTTGAATGGCTTATACCCAAAAGGCTAAATCTATTAGGATTTCAGTTTAGTTTAGATGCATTTTTGAATGTCTACTCTAAACAAGTCCTGGAAAATGGTAGAGTTAATGGCTAAGAAGGTGAGTTCTAGAGTCATGCTTGGGTTCAAATCCAATTTCTTCTTTTCTTCAGCTGAATGACTTTGGGCAAAATAATATTCTCATTCATTGATAACATAAAATGAAAAGTAGTTAAAATAAGATTGTTGTCTCACAAATGTTATTTCATAAATATTAGCTGTTTTATTATCATTACAATGTATGTGTCATTATGTTAGGCAAAATACACACAAGGTAAATTATCAAGTTTCTCTGCCTTCAAGGAATTCACAGAAATTGTGATTTATTAAAATATTTTCTCTTACAGGTAGAATATGTCATTATAAAAATGTTTTATTTCCTTTGATATTTATAAGTAACCAGGATGTAGTTGAAATACTGGTTTCATTTGTTAAATATGGTTATATTAACTATTGAATAATTTCTGTTGAATTTTATTCAACATTGTCAAAGAGTTAACTAGGACAAGTTTTTTTTTAATATCTGCCTTATGAAATGTTCATTTTGATTCTGTATATTCTGTTCTGTTTGTGAGCATATTTCCAGGTACAAAACCTCATGGTCATTCATAAATGGGCCATACATAAATTATGCATTAATAAAAAATGAAAACAAAAGCACTGAACATTCCTTTTGCTAGGTAGAGAAAACAGTTCACTGTCTGACATTGAAGACAAGACAGTCAGTATAATTTCACAGAATTACAAGCAGCCAGATTCACACTCCACCTCATCACTCAAACTATTTTTTGTTCTTTTCATGGGAAAAACACATGGAATGAAAAGTAACCATGGAGAGACAACCATTTGCTCTGGAGGAGAATCCTTCCCTATATGTCTTTTCTGAAATTGTTTTTACTGCATGGCCTTAGGTTTTTAGTCTTTGAACTTCTCCTGAGATAGTGGGACAAACTCAAAAGACCCAGAACTGCAAAAATCAGATACTGAAAAAATCCAGTGAAAGTGGACATCTTTGACAGCTGACAAACACGTGATAAGAATGTAATGAATCATGGCAAGCACTATGTGTTTCATGAATATGTGGATGCCTTTTGAGGGAACTTGACCAATGAGATGGAGGGAAGGTAGATCTATTGGTAAAACTTTTTTTCTTTTAACTTAAAGGAGAGAAAAGGAGATATTAAAAGGAGTTGAGAAGACAAATACCACTAACAAATATTTGCATTCTCAGTTAATAAAAATCACAAGAAATCCTTTTGAGTATGCATCATAATCTGAAATTGTTTTTTTTTTTCTTTTCTTATTTCCTTCTTTGCTTTATCTCCCCATTTAGAATGTTGGATCCAAGATGGCAATGATAGTGCATGTTTTGTTCACCACTTTAACCCATTTCCTAAAACTGTAAGGCCATTGTAGGTGCCCAATAAAAAATTGCTTAGTGAATGAATGAGTAGTCAAGAGATTTAGGTTCTAACTTTCCTTGCAGCTAAGTAGCTGGGAAGCTTTAGGATAATCACTTAATCTCTTGGAGGCTCAATCTCTTCACCTTTAAAATGATAGAGACTGGATGGCTAATGTTTCTTGCAGCACTAATATTCATTGCTGCTGTGCATGATTTAAATATTCATACAATAACTAAAGTTTTTATAGGAAACCTCATGTATGTAATAGATTGTATTAAATTAATCATTTTTTTTTCTTCTCTGGAACATTTGCCCACGATGAAATTACTTAAGATGTTAATTATCAGAGCTGTCATTAATGTCTGCTTTTTATTCTTTTTATGATTAAACCATTTTTCTTTTTGTCTGATGAGTACATTTTGGATTGTGTAAGTAAAATTAGTGATTCTTGTAGCTTACACTTAGGGTTCTTTCTAAAAAATTTTTTATGTTACTATTTTTAAATGGTGAATTTCTAGAAAATTCTAAATACAGACAGATTATTTGGTTGAGGAAAGAGTGAATTGAGAGAGACTTAGTTGTTTACAAATTTAGTAGTGGTATCTACTTAGATGAGTGGTATCATCTTAGATGAGTTGATATTAGAAGAATCTTCATTTATCTCTTTTTATATTCTACATGGTGAATGTAAATTCAGTATTATACTATCTGCTTTTGATTTGTTAACTGATCATAACTTCACTGCTAGTCAGGCAAGTGAATTCATAATTCCACAATTGGAATTCACAGTTATGGAAAGATAGTGGTGAAGAACATTTAGTTTCATTTTGCCCCTTGTGAGGATGTTTTTATGTTTAATTGCCCATGTGTTTCTTTCTTAACAATGCCTAAGTGTGGTATGTATATTTTAATAAGACCAATATATAGAATTCCAAATACATTTCATTTCAGATATAAACAACTAAGTATAATAATACAAAGATAATTTATTTCAACATTTATTATATTTAAAATATTTTTAGAGTATTTGATTTTGTTACTGTAACTGAAAATAGGAATTTGAAAAATGAATACTAGGGGATAAAGAATGCTACAATATTCATATTTTAAGAACACTATTATATTTAAAAACTAAGTCTTTTAGTTGAATTTACTTGCTCATTGAGTCTCAACTGCTATTAAACATGGTTTGCAGATTTCTGACTTCTGGGCAAATGTATAGAGAATGTGGGCTTATAAAACTTGGAAAACATTCATGTTAAATCATTTTTATTGACATGCTGTCCCTCTAGACCATTGGAAAGTAAAAGTAGTCAAAACTAAATTTCCGAAGAGGAAAAATGAAACTAGTAAACTCTGCTGACGTTTAACTTCTTAAGAATTTCAGCATACAATTTGCCCATACAGGTTCCATTAAAGTTAATAGGAGCTGTGTGACTAATTCCCTCTGTAGGGCTCTAAATATGTACCCTGCAGTATTACACAGTCTGAACTTAATTGTTATTTTCTCTTAATCTTAATTATGTTACATTAAAGATAGATACTTTCATTATCGTACACATATATAGTAAATTTTATATAAAGATTTGAAAATAATCTATTTGGTGGAGAAGCTGAATTTATATGGGTCAGAACAGAATTTTAATTAGTGTTGCAAATATGAGTACTGCTTTCATTATCATGATAAAACAAGCATGAGTATCTGTAATTTACCCTCTAGCTATACAAATGAGAACTTAAACCTCAATGAATTCATTAAATGAAACAGTTTCAGAGCACTTACTTAAAATCAGGTCTACTTTTTAATCAGTCATGTTTTAAGTGAATGCTTATTAATAGATCATTAATAAAACATGCTTATGGAATGAGATTTCAAGAAAGGTGAGATGACTAAAAGTTCTAATGAATAATTTTTAATTTTGTTTTAAACAATTTAGTTTTGGTAAGTTACATATTTATTTCAAGTGAAAAAGTGAATTAACCATTATTTCAGTGGTATATGAAGATACAACACTATAGATAATGTTGCCTAGAAACTAATTTATATTGCCCAAGTTCCCTCTGCTTTTGACTTTCAAACTAAAATATGACTCTCATTTTTTTCCCTTTAAGTAATATCTGCCTGATTTCTATTGTGACCTGGGGGAATGAAGTTATAAGGTTTTATTTTTAAGGAATGCAAAACAAAAGGAAAACTATATAAATGAATAAATATTCCACCATCCATTTTTCACTGAAACTAGCAGCTGTGCTGCAAAAAAGGGGCACGCACAGAATATTTCCTAAGCACAGAGAACACTGGGAAAAGGCAAGCAATATTGCAGAACAATAAATAAAACACAACACTCTCCAAGGGTCCAGAATTTGGTTTGAGTAACCTTCTGGAAGTCAGAATTCCACTCAACACCAACATAAACTGCAATCAGGACTGATTTTTTTTATGTTACACATGTATCTTCTTCTCTGGATTTTTATTACAGAATTCTCTGTGCTTAACTATAATAGAACCCCATGAGTTTGGGATGGGGGTGGGTAGGGAGAATAGTTACTATTACAAAATAGATTCTATTTCTAATTTATTGAACCTAATTTTCAGACATTTAGCTATTGAACTCCATTAGATTTCTAGAGTACTTCCAGCTCAAGATCCCATTACTTAGAATTTGCTTTGAAGCTTACAACCTTTTCAGTTTTGTGCTGCAACTTGTTCCCCTGATCTGTAAGCTTAACGCTGAAAGCTCTGAGCTCGGAAGGATGAGATGCTCTCTGGATTCCCTGGATCCTGGCTTCCCATGCTGATCTGTGGCATTGGCCTCAAAGTGACAGAGGCAGAAGACCTTTTAGCTTCCATTATTTATAAGTTACTCTTGAATGAGAATGAAAACCTGAAATGTGGCTTTTTGGAGATATGTCTGGAAGTCTGAGCTTACAATAGCTAACCAAGTCACATAACTTTCATAGGTTTAGCACAGTTCCAATCTGAATTGCTCTGATTCTTGAGCTAACTTTATAAGGCCACACTCTTTCTCCCCTCTTAAGTACAGAATGCGGCATATCTTGAATTAAAAATAATTTTCCCCTACAAATATTATTTTTGAATTTTACAAAGAATGAAAATCATGTCAAAGATTTTTGCAATGCCTTTTGAGTTAAGTAAAAACACCCTAAGCTGCTAGGATTATTTGCCACCACTTAAAAAACTGTTACTGTTACTGGTGTACTTATACTTTGTGACTCTTTAAGAACAACAGGATGAGTTGAGGAGACTGGCTCAGACTCCGAATTAAGTCAAGTGTACCAAGAATAGGCTGTGATCTGAAATGGTGTACCTGCACAGTGTGTGTTGGCATTTAGCAAAAGGACTTTCTCATTAGGACAGTGTCTCTCCTGTGTATTTTGGGTCTGTTATTCTTCTTTTCATCACTCGAATTCTGTGACTCCACTTCTGTTTCTTATTCCGATACACATCCACATGAGCCTGCCCTGGTTCATAATGATTTGGTCCTTCTTTTGTATCAGGCTGGAAAAGTGCTTTTCTCTTTCTCCCATAGCACCCAAATTGTATTGAAATTATTTATTTAGGAGCCCGTTTCTTTCTTTAAAATGTAAATACCCACCCTAAGGGTAAGGACCATGTTTCAGTGATGTTTACAGCCTGTCTTAACACTGGTGCTCAAACTTTATTGAGTAGCATACAGTAAGTAGCATGGAATATAGGCTCCCAAAATGTTCTCAATCTTTTAATCTATATTTGCTACACATAGAATTTTTAAATAGACCTCATTTGCATGAAAAAGTTTTATCAAGGATATTTTAGCCTAGCTGTTTTGACCAAATTTGCTATTCCATAACTCTGCAGTAAACTTACAGGTGAGGTTCTTTTATGCCCCTATTACATGAAAATGTACCCTGCTAAACCATTCTGTAGAACATGTCCTACAAGATGCTTGCTGCTGGTGACCATCTTTGAATTCTCACTACCCTTGATGCATGTTCCAAGTATATCGTGGAAGTGGAAACCAGAGGTCCTGGCACAAAGAGCTGCCTTTACAGCCTTCCCTGTGGCAGGGACTGCTAGATCTGCATTACCATTTGTTATGTGATGATTCAGTTCACCCCAATTTGCCCTTTGGGAACTGCTGTGAAAACTTCTTTTATACAGCAAATCATGACAGCATTTGGCCTTCATTTGAGGGTGAATGCATGGTTTATATATTAAAGTCATTTCTTTTTTCCCTTTAGAAATACCATGTGGCATCAATTTGTTTGCAAGCGCAAATCAAATGGCAGTTTGGGTTCCTTCTGATGATCCAGAATATGCTGTATTAAATTTTTAAAGGTTATCAGAGCAAAGAAAACTTAGCATTCAAAAAATTAAGAAACTACGTGAATCCCAAGAATATATCCATATACCCACAGAGGTCTTCAGATACTTGGATGAAATCTGCTCAGGAACATTAAAAAATGCCAGGTATTAAATACAGACAGATAATACAAGTCATTTTCCATGTGTGTGTGTGTATGTCTGCAGAGCTGAAATCTCTGTGTTCCACCCAGCCAGCAGAATTTTATTCTATTGATCTTCAGCCACAGGTGAGAACAGGGCATAGAACAAGAAGCAGTGTCAATTTTATAGCTTCCACTTTGGAAGTGTATCATATATGGACAAATATGGTCATTCCTGACTAACTTACTCAGTGATCTGCCTTCAGCGCCCCAAGGAATATCCTAGGCTCTGCACTTCGGGTTTCCAAATTCACCCCACCAGCAGTGCTTGTGGCTCTTGTGGCTGGTCTGTGGCCCGAAGCCTAACTTGTCCAGCAGTTCTGTTTCCCAAAACAGACTCAGGAAGTTTGTGCCCATGTTTGGTTTGTTCTAAAGGGGCCGCCATATATTTAATGAGGTTGTGAACATATACTAAGATTTGTATATGGCTTATCAAATAAAAATACATCTTCAACCCTCTTTTCCCTTCAGTACGTGGTTTGGAGTGGGCTGTTTTACAAGCACATGTGTTTATCATATGACTATTTGGGGACAAACTTCACTTGCTACATTTAGGATACAGTTTCTGAGTAGTGGAAGACTCTGCTCCAGTCCTCCCTATTAATGAGAAGATGTTAAACTGGGTAGTCCTTTCCCCTTATCCTTGGCAGGTTTCTCTGGAAGCTAAGGTGTCCTACTTAATTCAAATAAGCCCTTCTCGTATGATAGGGGAAGAAACAAACCTGTGGCTTCAGGTCCCTTTTCACTCAGAAGGACGTGTGACTAACGTGTTCCTCCTGTGTGCCAAGTGGAATGGGGAGCCTCTTACCAAACACACGCATTCACGAGAGCCCTGTGTCCTGTGGCTTTGTGGTCCAGACAGGATCCGGGAGACCTTGATTTCCCTCTGTTTCTCAACCTCTCTGTGACGTCAGGCGAATCATTTACCTCCCAGGTCATTGGCTTCTCTTATTTTTCTACAAAATATCTTTTCCTAGCACAACAGAAAAGGGTCTTGTGACTAATATTGATAATAAGTATGAAGTGCATTTTTCTTCTCTAAGTCCCTATCATAACATACAGAGCAGCAGAGGTGGTCTTTTACCAAATGAACCTTGGTAAGTGGTTAAATGACTCAACCAATATCTTCCAGTTTACTATTTAATGTAACAAACCACATTCTATGAATAAGCCAAATGGATAAAATGTCTTTCACTTGATAATTCAGATCCAATCCAATAAAGCAGAATATGCCATAGAATTTATTTCCTAATCGCAGGAGATAAAATTGATTTTCCCATTTCTTTTTCACTTTTTTTTCCTCTCTAGTGTTTGCTTCAGTCACCAATTGTGAGAGAAGACTAGAAATAGAATTTGTCATGAAATTTAAAACTTCACACACCACGTGCTGCTTCTTTTGAAGAAAAAATGGAGAGCTGGTCGTCTCTCTGAAATTCTGATGTGGACTCTACCTTACAACTTTACAAGAAAAGAGGCAACGTGTGAAATGGAGATTGCATAATCTTGTCTTGAAACGAGATTCATCTGGAAGCTTCTAGCCTTCTCAGTAAAATTCAAATGATATTTAAAAAGTTAACATGGCCCCCTGGCTTCCCCTTGGTCTGGGTCAAGGCTCCGGCAGCCCCTGCTCCCAGGGGGCGGGGCTGAGGACATCCCGCGGCTGCTGGTGTGCTGGGCGGGTGACACGCACGAGCAAATAAATACTCCGAACGTAATGAGAGCCAGAGACCATTCTTGCAACTTTTCTGTAAAGTTTTAAAGTAGTTCAAAACAAAAAGAACATAAAAATGTTTATGTGGGTAAGAAGAGCAATTTCACCAGAAACATAGCTTACTTTACATTTCTTCCACGTATGTATGTGCTATATATTATTTTTTTGTTGTTCATGTGTGCATACATTTATAGGTATAGTCTTTTTGTTTCAGTTTCTCTAAGATTCTGATACATTCCAAAGCAAAAGAGAAAAACCTTACAAAGTGCTTCAGGAAGACAATAAAAAGGAGGACTTCTGAACGTGTGTAAGATTTATTTCGCTTCTTAATAGTTGTAATGTATTGGTCTAAAGGACCGTCATGATGAATTTGAGTATATCAGATTAGGATACAGTAAAGAGAGAAATGAATTTAACTTTGTTCTGATTTTTGAAATATCACTCAATTAAAACTTTCTTTAATAAAGATGAGTGCATTAGTTACAGCTGCCTGAGGGAATGTCTGATTTGGTTCCTGGCTATTAATGAATGTTTTATATGGCTATTTACTCCTCAATAAAATAAAAAGAGATGTGTTCCCACAGCAACCCCAGAAGTAGACGTTAACTTTTTTCTTTTCTTCCTGATGTAGAACTTAATCTAAGCCCTATATTTCTCTTTCAAATGATCAGCCACAGAATTTGGGAACTTCCTAGGGAATGTAGTTTGACTTGAATTCCCCCCAAATTAATTTCATCTACTCAGAAACTATACAGTTAAAGAGCTGAATCTAAGCTAATTTTCCTTTTCCAAAATTAGGTTTTAAATAAATGAAATAGTACTTAACATGCTGCTGATGTGGTTTTGTAGCACAACGATGCTCTTCACTTGACCACAAACACATATGGATAGTGTGTGGTACTGACACCTTCTTTAAGCAGCTGTAAAATAAGCTGGCTGAAAAAAAGCACTGTTGCCACTGGCTTGCAGGCTCTGATCTGAAAAGTAGTGTTTTAGAAGAGGAATGGTCTATGTGTTTTCTAAATAGAATGATCCATGAAAACAGCACAACTTTTCTTTCTTGCTCTGTGCAGGATCAGAGCTGGAACGCTGCCTGACAATGGCACTTATTAGTCAGCAGAGATACTACTGCACAGCCCAACAGATAAAGCCCTTATATGTAATGCAATTGAAAGAGGTTTTACAATGTTTAAAGGATAATTAATGAAATGGTGAAAGCAGTGTTAGCATAAGGTATCCACTCCAAAATATTCACCTTTGCATGACATTGTGTGCAGAAGCAGCTAAGGCAAAAACACCTTTGGAAAACTCACTTTTCCCTTCAAACTTCATCTTCACTTAAAGTGTAGTTACTACAAAATAAAGGATCGTCATCTTCTCTTCAGACCTGTGCTGCTGGTGAGTACCCAGCCCGATAACTCTTCAAGGCCTAAAGGAGTTACTGGATTCATTGGGAGGGGAAAGTGACAAGAGTGCATAAAGCTGATTGGAAAACAAACTTTTATCAATTTTACCCAGAACTACCAAGTTTTTAATCTGAGGACCAAGTGGATTGTTTTTCAGACTAATTTATTTTTGCTTTTATAATTCAGTAAGATATAGGGATGTTGTTAGAAGAGAATATCTTTATTTCCCTTCTTGCATACTTACTTTGTCCTTCTAAAAATGTTGAACCACTGCATTGTATACATGAAACCAATATAAGATTGTATATCAATGATATTTCAAAAAACAAAACCAAAAACACTTAAGCTTAAAAAAAAAAACTTCTGCTAACAAATCTTTGGATTTAGAATTATCAGAATATTTCTTCTCCAAGGTATTCTCTCTATAGTAGCTCTATGTGAACATAAGGTATATGTGTATATAATTCATACATCTATATGAAAATATATATATAGCAATTCTTTGTAATATGTATAATTACATAATGATGATTTTATTATGAAATACTCTAATAACAAGGAGGGATCCAGTGATCTTTCTCCCAAAAGTTCAACTGTATACTTCTTTTGTCAGTAGACTCATTATTGGTCCTTTATGCAAGACTCTGATTTTGCAGACATTTAACATGTGACTCAAGAGCTCTTTTGCAGACCTAGGAGATTCCACTCAGGTTCATCATAAACCTAATCTTCAGGAGCCCTCAAGGAATTTATGTTTTGCTATCATTTGGAGCCACTTAACTCCCAAGTGAAATCCAGCAATGGACTGATTCTTGTAGAAAATTCCCCCCTTGCTGGATTACATACTTAGGAATTTCTGGAGAAAATTTCATAGGATTTCTGTCAGGTTAGGTTTCCTTAGACAAAACCTGGTCCTTCAACTGAGAGCTTGACAGGGAGTCTAGGGCTTCTGGTTTGGAGAACGGGAAAAGGTGAGGAGGAGGGTAGCTGTGATTTTCTTCACGGATAAGGCTTTCTGCTTCTTTAACACCTAGTGTTGGAGAGCCATGCAGATATTCAAAGAGGCTGTTAACAATAGCAGAGGCCCTGGATTTAAGGCATCCCACACATCTGACTCTGAGGAGACGGTGAGAAGGAGGGGCACCATCAGTCCACACCAAATATGTAAGCTAGGTTGATGTATAAGGATAAAGTCCCCAGTCTCACTAACCCAGATGGTGTGCTGTGAAAAGACATAAAGGTAATAGGAGGCAAGCACTTCCTTTGAGGAATCCATATGCAAACAATATCTCAAGGCATTAAAAACTAAGTAAGGAGGTGACAGTTACCAGGCAACATTGGAGAAACTGTTTTAAAGAAAGGTGGTGGATGTTGGAGTTGGTCAAGTAGGTATTAGAAAAGCTGCATAGCTGCTATTGGAGATTTATAATGCCCATTAGCATATTAATGAGAACATTCCTTACGTTTGTCCTGCATTTCCAGAACTTATTTTATCACATAACATTTTTTGATATAAAGAAGAACACGTAAGTGAACCATAATATATGAGGGAGCCCTAATATAAAAGAATACCAAATGCCATAAACTAAGAACTGAGTTCATAAAAACTGAAGGGGTGCAGAGTGAGGGAATGATAAGAATGGCCTAAATTCCAGTGTGTTGATTATATCCTGTGCACAGTAGATACTTTACATGTCATAACAAGAAACATACACTGAGCATTTACTGCATGCCAGGCACACTTACAAGCACTTTATATTCATTATTTGAGTCAATTCAACACTTTATCCCTAGGATATCCATGCCATTATTATCCCCATATTACGGATGAGAAAGTGAGGCTTAAAGAAGTGAAATGACCTGCCTTTAGTAAGATGGTAGGCAGTTTGATTCCAATTCATCAGGAGAGACAGCTATATTTACAACTAACCATGGCACAAGGTGTTAAGTCCAATACTAATATTATGAGTGACAAAAAGAAGTTCTTCATTGAACTGATGGGAGTGCTGTCCCAGAAAAATTATCAGTGGATGGCCACATAACTCATAGCTGTAATCACACATGACCTGCTGAAAGACGGAGAAGCAATAACAAAAATGCCATCATTTTTCTGACAACAAGTTCACGGCACAATTTGAGAAGGTTGCTATTATTCATTTAGGAAGGTTGCTATTATTATTCAACTTGTAAAACAAACAAAACTAAACTAAACAGAGTTTGTTCTTATTTTCTGCAAGAAATGGTCTATATTCAAAATAAGTATTGCCTGAATGTGTCAAAATGATTGCATGCTTTTTTCAAACATTGGCTCCTAATACAAAGATTGTTAAGGATCCAGTCCATTGGATGAGATGTTGTTTTTAGAAATGATCTGCCTTCTCTGTTCATTCATATCCATTTCAAGAAATAGGAAATTATTCTGGAATCTTTTTTCTCATTATGGTCTTGATGTGAAATTCATTTCGTGGTTGCTGAGCATCTTGAAAATACAGTGGATGGTTGCAACTACATATTCTACTCTGATGATTTTACTACAACTGCTCAAATAGCAAATGATGAAATGTTTTGGATTGCATGTTATTTATTTTACTTGTCTTAATGTTGAATTTACTTGGTGTTTTCAGTGGGAATTATTTTTAGAGTATAAAAATAGTATTCTAAATTCTATCAAGTGTGGATAATTTAGAAATATAAATTTAGAAAAATGCATATAGCTTGAATACTTAATAATAAATATGCATAAAATATGATTTCAATAATATTTTTCTGCTTTAGTTAATAATTTAGTATATTCTGCCCCCACTAATTACTCTAACATACCTTAAGGTAGGTAGAAATAAGTTAACTATGTTTAAGCTATAATTAAGTTTTGGCCAGGGCCTAGTGGAAAATAACATTTCAATAGGAAACAGAATTGTGACTTGCAGATTTCCATTTTAAGGCCTTACAGCCTAGGAGGCAATGATAGTTAATTATTAGAATGACATTCACAAATCAAATCCATTCTAAAGAAAAAAATAATTTTTTTCTGACTTGGGTAGCCTTTCTTCCAAAGTTTGAAATGGTTTCTTTAAAAGTTACTTTACCTGCAAAAACATTTGTATCAGATGGCCACAATTTTATTCACATTTTCTATAGCTCCCCATATCCAAATTGTGACTCCTTAAAACAGAGTTTAAGACAGAGGCAGTTCTAATGCTTTAGGACACTATTTCCATTTTTATTCATATATATAGGTCTCCAGAATAATTTCTTTCAGGCCTCTCTAACCTTACTATGGGTCTTAGAGATCAGGGACAAGATAAATGATTCTTTGGGTAAATCTAGTCCTGAAAATGCAGATCCTGACATATTTGGTGCAAGTTTTCAAACAATGAAAATAATGAGATACATAGTCTTGGAAAAATACATGCATGTGTTAACTCATGGCCAGTCTAACTGGTCTTCATAAAGCAAACATAACTAATGATTAGCAGTTGTCTGATAATGTATTTGCTTACGTTCCTGCAGAAAAGAAGCTGGCTGGCTGACAGTCTTGCCTAGGAAGATGCTGGTGTATGCAAATGCTCTTGGGACAGCCTCTAGAGGCAGGCTGCAGGGCTCCCAGCTTCTCCGTGCATTCAGTACCAACAGTGACGTGTGTCTTTCAGGTTTACAGATGACCCCCAGCTGAGAGAAGCAGAGATGCAGAGAGAGACAGAGATAGAGACATGGAGTGGAAATGCATTTGGCAGTTCTGTTGGAAGACCAAACTAGAATGAAATAATAGTACAACTGTTTTTCTGGGTTAAATGTAAAGGTCTGAATGTAAGGTTTAAGACGGAGTACTACAACTTGAAAAGTTGTAGGTAATTTGCATGTTACGAGCATCACGTAAAAAGGAATTAGGGGAGAAATGTGAGCCCAATAAACCAACAACAAATGAGGGGGTCTAACTGTTCATTTTTTATTGTTGTTGTTAATGTAGTATTAATAGGAGATGTGTGCCTGAAGAAAAGATGATGATGCTGGGGAAACACATTTAGGGTATCACATTCAGTTCTTTTCAGCACGTGTTTATGATGGCCAGCTTGGGTGAGGATCCGTGAATTAATATTCTATTGGTTTAAAAAAGTGAGACTGTTTTGTCTAAAAAAGTGAAGACTGAGAATGTAATAACTCTTAAATTACATGAAGAATTCTTTTTAGAGAAGAGATTAGGCTTATATCTTACAGTGCAGTAAGGAAGCATTAGAAACAAGAATCTGGAGTTACATGGAGGGGCATTTTGACTC